AGATCCCAGGATTGCTTCACTGGGCATTTCCATAACCAGCACAGTATTGCAAATGCAGAGAGTGGCAGGCTTTGTGTGTATCGACTTGTGCCAGCAAGACAATCAGGCTTGGACTGGCAGATGTGAGCCCCAAGAATTGTAATAGATCAGCGCCCGCCCGCCTGCTTGCTGATCCTGACTTTGCCAAACCTCTTTCAGGAACAGAGAAATCCCCACCCTGACAACCTCCTTGGGATCCTTCTCAGCATTTCCACTCAGTATGTAAAGTAGGGGACATGCACCACGGAAAATAATCCCTTTCACATCCAGGGGTAACCGTGATGGCATATAGCAAAGTACAATAATGTCCCAAATCCACAAAACAGTGATATCCTTATTGGGCCAACCTAGATGCACAAAATATATGCCACAAGCTTTTGAAACTCCGCTGGCTTCTTCATCAGGCAAAGTTGTTAAAAATAACACAGGGAAAATGGACAATGATAGTCACAGACCTGCATTTTGTCAAGATGTTGATGTTGTTCGGAGCATGGAGGGATATTTTTGCAGGCAGGCCACTCCTCCTCTTGGCCATGTGGTTCAGGGAATTTTAAAGTCCAAGAAATTTAAATTCCATTCGCGGAACAAAAAGGTATGCCCTTTCACAGGGTTAGTGACTGTGAATTTTTACCCATTACAAGAGCTGGGTGAAATAAGCAAAAAAACAAATAAAGCCCAAACACTTTACATTTATATGATGCTTCAAAACAATGTGTACTATAATGACTCACTGTTACTCCTGACATATTTGAGGCAAGTCTTACCATAAGCGTCGATGAGTATTAAGTGCAAGGAGGGGCAGTGTGGTATTGGACAGGAGAGCCGTGTGCCAAATCGGATTATCAATGATGCAATTGGAACAAATGCTTCAGCCTCAGTGACTGGGGATTGGGTAAGTGTTGCTGCCGGTGCACACAAGATTCTTGCACAATCATTGAATCCTAGAATTCAGGATTCAGTCCAAACCCATTCTGCCATGCCGGAATACACAATCAAAGCACTCCCGAGAGATGGCTATCCAGCCTTTGACTGAAAACCTCCAAAGAAGAGGACTTAGCTACTCTCTGAGGGAGCATGTTCTACCATCAGGAAGTTCTTCCTAATGTTTACATGGAATCTCTTTTCCTGTAGCGTGAATTTATTGCTCCAGGTCCTATTCTCTGGAGCAGCAGAAAAAAAAGCTTGCTCCCTCCTCAATATGACATCCCTACAAATATTTAAACATGGCTATCTCTTAACTTTCTCTTCTCAAGGCTAAACATCCCCAGCTCCCTAAGCCGCTTCTCATAGGGCATGGTTTCCAGACCTTTCACCAGTTTGGTTGCCCTCCTC